ATGAGGTTGCCAATATTCCCTGTAGCCGAGCAGAAAGAGGGGAAATGGGGTTTTGGTAGAAGATTGTGACCATAATAGTATATCCACTTTATGTGGTGGTGTGGAACTCTGCTGTGGATCTTATTTCCAACCATAGGCTATCCTCTTGTCACAAGCACACATTATAATTGCAACCATATATATCTGCAATATTTCTACTGGGATTCTTTTTTTTTTTAATTTACTAACTTACTTATTTACACTTTTATCCCTCATAGCTAGTAGCGAAGATACTACTCTGGACAGCAGACACAACAAAACATAGCAATAATAGAAAAGCAATAAAAAGATCAAATGGAAAAGACACAACAAAACATAGCAATAATAGAAAAGAAATAAAAAGATCAAATGGAAAATAATCCAAATTCCAGGACCATGATAAGGATGGTCCTAGGGTGCACTAAACAGGAGAGGCACATAGACTACCTCCCCCCCCCCAAAATTGTGGTATATTACAGTGCTTTGGGGAAAGCTACAGAAAGGCTTGGAAGAATAGCCAGTGACCTCCTAAAATTCAGGAGGGATTAGGCTAGCTGCACATCTAAAGGAAGGGAATTCCAGAGTGAACCAGCCGACCGGTTATGGATGGTAGCCTTCCGAGCCTCCCCCAAGTGGCCACTTGGAGCATCCCCATATAACAGGTATAGGTGAGATGGGCAGATAATTGGAGGGAGAGGTGCTCAGATGGGTAACAAGGTCCTAAACCATGAAGGGTTTTAAATGCCAACATAAGAACCTTGAATTTGGCCCGGAAGCATACAGGCAGCCAGTGCAGATGGGCCAGGACAGGAGTTATATTGAGATGTTCCAAGTGGCCACTTGGAGCATCCCCATATAACAGGTATAGGTGAGATGGGCAGATAATTGGAGGGAGAGGTGCTCAGATGGGTAACAAGGTCCTAAACCATGAAGGGTTTTAAATGCCAACATAAGAACCTTGAATTTGGCCCGGAAGCATACAGGCAGCCAGTGCAGATGGGCCAGGACAGGAGTTATATTGAGATGTTCCAAAGACCAACCAAGAACCTTGAATTTGGCCCGGAAGCATACGGGCAGCCAGTGCAGATCAGGAGTTATATTGAGATGTTCCAGAGACCAACCTGGCAGCAGTGTTCTGTACCAGCTGCAGCTTCCAAACCACTTTCAAGGGCAGCCCTACATAGAATATGTTGCAATAGTTTATTTTCAATATCACAAATGCATGGATCAGTGTTGTAAGGGATTTCCTGTCGAGATAGGGGTGAAAGTGTATGATCTGCCTGAGCTGGTAAAAGACAGACTTGGCCATGGCCAAGATCTAATTCTTCATTGGCTCCTCCCCCTCTTTTATAAATAACTGGCCATGGCCAAGATCTAATTCTTCATTGTGAAGGCTAGATTAAAATATTCCTGGCTCCTCCCCCTCTTTTATAAATAAATGCACATTTTGTTTTTCATAAGCTGATTATTTTACTTGCAAATCTGAGCTTTTTGCATAGAATGAAGGAAAAGTCATTCAAGAAGCATTATGATCTCTATTCGAAGCTCAAAAAAAGAAGTGGATAATTTGTATCTGTCTGGAAACACTTTAGGGAATAAAAGTATTACTGTGAATGTGCAGGAGAATACTTTTTGATAGGTATACACCAGTTGCCCTATAGGAGGGATCAGAAAAGACATGGGGGGGGGGGTAGGGAGAGAAAAGACAAGACATATGTTTACAAGAGGAGTTACACAAAGAAATAACTTAGCACCAGTATAGTGGTTCGGCCCTGAGAAGTCAATGTATTTTTGGATGCTATGCAGACCCATATTGATCTCTCAAGATATGAACAAGACATTGCATATGGGGGAAGTGGCATTTAGGCTTCTGCAATAACATTTATACATCTCAAAGAGGCCATGGCTTTACTAAGCCATGAGATAAATACAGTAGAAAAATTTCATGTTGAGGAGAACAAGGCAAGAGGTGTTCCAATATGCAAGTTTGCAGAGAGTTGGACTGACATGTGGGTTCAGACTGACTCTGACAGAAGGGTTACAGATCCTGCAGAAAGAGATTTAAAGCAGCAATAGGTGCTATGCAGATATTCAGCTGAATGCATACAAGCCAGGAGTGGAAACTGTGTATGTAATCCCTCTTTTCCTCCATGTGCATCCACTTCATCTACACATTCACTGAAAACTGTGGCTGAATATAGTGTTAGTCCCAACCAGAGCAGACGCTTAGTTAGGAATCAGATTTATTTTTGAAAATTAATATAAATCCCATTTCTAGCTGGGACTACAGTTAGCTTTAAGAAAAAAGGATTTCTGAGGCCAGAAACAAACATTAGAGATGACCTGTAACCACAAGAGAAAAAGTCTTAACCAATGTGAGAGTCAACTCTGCCATTATGTTAACTGCCTTCCTTTGTTTGGTGCCTGGTCTTTGTGATTTAAGCTTAGCATACTTTGAAATCCAATTCACAAAAACCATTTCTCTGGACCATTAATATGCTTTTAGCTCTAATTATGGACTGTCTCTTAACTTCGGTTTCTGGCCTCAAGTTTAATTTACAGTATTGATAAATTGAACTGTTTCAGATCCAAACTTACATTCAATAATAGAATACCAGCTCTGCCTTGCATTGGAGTATGTACTGGCCTTGCCAGCTGGCATTCCCTGTTTCCTTTGTAGTGCCCAAGAAGCTGAAGCAGGAGGAGATTGTTAGAGGTGGCTAAACAGCTTCTCGTTATTGCTCCTGGCCCCACGGTCCACTTCCTAAGTGTTTCTTAGCCTGTCCGTCTGCCATGATTCACCCTGAATCAATTTATGCCCTGAACTGATACAGCATCTGGACTGTTTACTCTTGGTATTTCCTCTATTTCACTTTCTCACAGCCCTGGAAGTACTGAGTACCCGGGGGGGGGAGTCTTCAGTTTATTACTGGTCCTAATTTTGTCCAACAAATTGCCTCCAGAGAAACAGTTTGTTGTTGTTGTTGTTGTTGCTGCTGCTATTATTGTTGTTGTTACATTGTACTTCTTATTTCTCAACATTGCTGTTGCATGGAGACAGACCAAAAGGTCAGGTCCTAAAAAAATGCATTTGAGATGCCATGTTTGCAAAATTTCATAAAGTTGGGGATGGAGAAAGCAGGCCCATCCAACAGCTGTTCGATGGGCCCATAGGCAGAGAGAGAGCATTAGACTGCTGGAACAGCTGTTCCAGCAGCCTAGCTTGCTCTTTAGTCCCAGGCCCAATGAACGGACAAATAAAAAGGACAAATATTTATCACTTTATATTTGTCAGGGCCTCTGGAACTGACAAAAAGTGACTAATAGTATACGACTACTACTACTACTACTACTACTCCAAATTCATTAATTAGACTCACCTTTATATTGATTCCTGAGAACTCAGGGTGGCTAATGATAAACACACACACATACACACACACGGTTCAAACTGCAACTTACAAATATATAAAATCACAAATCATACTTGTTAAAAATTAGACATATCTAATACCACAAATTAAAATATCTGTTAAAAATAGCAGATAAAGCAAACTAAACACTTGCTGATTATACAAATGGTTGTACAAGTAGATATGTTTTTAATGGGGATCTAAAAGACAAGTAGATCTCTGATAGAAGGGGGGAAAGTATGGTCATTCAGGCAGTATTTTTCCCCCCAGAGTTTCATTTCCCCATCAACTGTTCACTTTTGCATTTAGGTTTCCTTAAATTAAAACAAAAAAAAGTTCATGATTGATGTCAACACACCCAGAAAATTCCATTCTGTAATTGTGAGACTCCTGCACTGTTGTTTGCAGCAGTGAAAAGCCCTTTGCTGACTTGTAGTCCTTGGCAAAGTATAATACAGTAACCTCTTCTTCACATAAGCCCTTGCTAGCATGCTTTGCCTGTCTTATCACATCTCCCAACCACCCAGATTTATCATTCTAGTAGAAAGTATGCTTTTTTTAAATCACATGCTTCCATAAGGAAAAAGAGTACAAGCATGTTCACCTGTGGCTCCTAATAGAGTCTTTTCCCCCTTTTCCCCTCTTCTAGACTGATCAATGGACAACAAGGGATTACTATTAAAAGCTATAGTTCAAGATCCTTTTTAAATTTCAACAATGTGACAGACGAGCATTTTGGCAACTATACGTGTGTCGCTTCCAACAAACTAGGCACAACCAATGCCAGCCTGCTTCTTAACCGTAAGTCAAGAAAGATTATGGAAAATATACATTTTGTGGGGTGTGTGGGGGTGTTTTTCCCTCTACCTTGAAGAACAAAAAACTGTAGGAGTACTGTTGATTCAGGATCTCCTCAGAAAGATACTAATTTATATACATTTCTCTGAACAATTCAATTGTTTTGTTTGACTAGAGCCATAAGCCTGTTTCCTGATTATCTAGTATGTTTGGGTGAACTGGAGCAGAGGCACTGTAGTTGCAAGAACATTGCATTTGACTTAACCCATGCCAGGATGGATGTGAATAACGGGGCTGGTTCATGCATGATATGGTTATATAAGGTGATGATCTTCTGCGGATGACTAAATCTTGTGTCACAGTTCTTGGTGATGAAAAACCTCCTTGTGGTCCAGTGTCCATAGCAGCCAATGTTGAATTTAGTCAGGAAGAGCATCAAGTATCGAATGAAGTGAGAGAGGACTTGACCTACAGCACTGTTTTCATCAGTGCCTTATATAACAACTAGTTCAAGCCCCATGGAAATGCCAATTGAACGTTTGACTCTATTAGCAGTTATCTCTGGCTCAAAACAATATCCACATCAATGGTACAAACATTTGAAAGGCAATATCTGCTATTTGTAAGTGTCCTTTCAGATGTGACCTGTTTCTCACATCTGTATTATGTCTCAGCCATGAAAAGTCCAGGAGCAAGTATCTCTGGCTTATGCATTCTCTCCAACCACCAGCAGGGCCTAAGTGTGAATTTATTTGGACTGCGAAGCAAATAGTCTCTCATCCTTAGCGACATCAGTTAATGGGAACAGTTGTGAGATACAGAATTGAAGTGAGGGTTCACTATGGTCATATATTGGTACAGAACTTTGCATACAAGATTTTCCTATTTATTTTTGAGAATGTGTGTTTTCAGAGCTGTGGTAGTTTGCCATATCATATTCTGGGCATAATTCTTTAAGAATTCAATTAGCTAACAATAAGCAATTCACTGACATATTTTACTGAGTGTTACAATAAATAGAATCTGATGGAAAAATATTGCTCACTGTTATTTTCAAATAGACTTTGATTTCTTAATTAAAATGTGCATGAATAAATAAAAAGCTGATGATACATTAGGAAGATACAACAAATAATTGAGTGGTTGGAATAGTGTAATTAGAAAAGCTGCCAATATCAACTAAGGATACAGAGCCCCTGTTGGCCAACCATTGTTATTCCCCTGCAGAGCTACAATCGGTATATGAAGACATAGTGATTTTATCATGATTCTGTCACAAAGCTGTGTTATAACCCTAAAGCAACTGATTCTCTGAATGTACAAGGCAGCACACCTCAGCTCTGGCAAAATTCCCACCATCTCAGATTCCTTGTTAATTAGCTGCTTCTGTCTATGTTCCTTCAAATGATATTAATAGTGGTGGAAGAATTACAAAGGCTGTATCTTCTCAGCAACACTGAGTTTTAAAGAAGCAACAATGCAGTCTCAGGGCTGCTTCCAGTCTTATTTGCTCCCCTGGTTGAAACTGTTATGGTACAAGATCACCATCATTCCAAGCCAGCAACTTAGCAACATTGGTTTGTGAGGATCTGAGTGTACCTGTGTTTCTCTTACGCTGTACACTTTGCAACATTGGATTGTGTGTGAGGTTCTAAGCACATGCATGTTGTAAATGGACCACTGGCATACATTTCTCTGATACTAACATTTATTTTGTTGTAGTGTACTTCTATGAGCAATAAGATTTAGCACAATGGTGCATCCTTGTCAGTAAATTAACAGTTTGCCTCAAGACAGTTATAATACTCATTGTTGATAGAGCAAAGCCTGAAACTACAAGACTCAGAAATCATGAATTGCCATAAGGCCAATGACATGTACTTACCAATCTCTGACAGAATTCCTGAGCAAACCTGCCACAAAATAGGAAAGATTTCGGTGTGGCCATGCCTTCTGCGCCCACACCACCCCCACTTCTGCAGGACAAAATCTAGTAAATGCATTTTATAGATCTACCAGAAAAATATTACAGCCATAATCTGAAAGGTGAATCTTGTCAGCCTAAGCCTGGGAACCTTTAACTTCAGTGCTATAATTCTCATTCATATGCAACATATTTACTTTGTATTAATATCCAATGAAAACATAAATTATTAACTGCCTATGAAAATGACATAAGCAATCAAAAACTAAGTCACTATTATGACTTAGTCACAAAAAGCTTTTTTGTCTGTATAGATACAGTATTCTAGAACTTTAGAAGTTCCAGAAATAAGTTTTCAACTAATCCGGAATAATTTGTAGATGACTGTTTTTCTATAGAACTGCAAATTCCACCAGCTACAGAAACATTGCTATTGTTCACATATTCACATCTCAAAATATGAGAAGGTTGAGTCAAGACTCAACTTAAGTGACTCAACTTGGCTCACTGAAACCTCTGTCCCAACATATAAAGATATTTATTTCAGTTTAGCTGGAAGAGGGTTAATACAGTATAACTAATCATATGACTAGATTGCTATGTAGATAAAATGAGCTTTCACTGATCCATGAGAATATCTAATTATCTGTTTAGCATGAGATTACTTGTTGTTCTTCCTCCTTTCCACAAGAAGTGGTGATGGCATCTGGCCTAGATGCCTTTAAAAGGGGAATTGGACAGATTTCTGGAGGAAAAGTCCATTGCAGGTTACAAGCTATGATGAGGATGTATAATCTCCAAACTTAGAAGGAAGATACCTCAAAATGCCAGATGCAGAGGAGGGGTATCAGGAGACAGCTATCTTGTTGTCTCGTGTGCTCCCAGAGGCATCTGGTGGGGCCACTGTGAGATACAGGAAGCTGGACTAGATGGGCCCTTGGCCTGATGCAGCAGGGCTCTTCTTATGGATGACACTAAGATTTCAAATGTGTAAAAAGGAAAAGTGGATATCTAATGATGAACACATGAAGGGAACAATTAGATAAAGGTCTAATATAGAATAATGTCCTTTGAGCAGAAGAGTTGATTAAAAAAAGGTGAGGGCAATGACTCTTATTTCAGAGAATTTACAATATGGCAGGAAAAAAAGGCATGTTGTGTTAAGAAGACGGAAATTAAGTCTTGGAACTGAGTGTTCTTGCAGAAGCTTAGCCAGTGTCTAGTCATCAATACCAAGACAGCAGATGATCAAGTACTCTACATTAAGTATGCATCGGCCAACTGACATATGAAAATTAGGGATTTATAGTATGAAAGGGACCAATGAGGCCAGCACAGCTAATGTTTCTTTTCAAGAAAATGGAGGTCTAGAAGGCAGAATAGATGTGAAATCTTTCTTCAGCTTTTCTAGCTGAGTAGTGCCTTGTGAAGCCTGTGATGACACTGCCTGGAGCACTGATGGACAACCTGTGGCTGAGTAAATAGTCCGTCGTCAGCACAAATGAAAAACAAAACATCAACACTACCGACCACTTGTGATGACAAGGACACAATAACAAGTTGTTTGTGACAAATCATTCATCTAGTCTATTTCACACACACACAGACACAGACACAGACACAGACACAGACACACACACACACACACACACACGTACGTGTATGTATGTATATTGTACAATAAATGTTTGTGTTTCCACTGAGATTCCACTTTTAATCCTATGGGTGAATAATAGTGGATGGTCCCATCCTGCCATCTAGGGGCTCACTTTAAGCATGTTGCTTTGTTTACATGGCAAGTTCTTCCCCCGCAGAAGAGGGGGAAATGCAGTCTTTTACCATAAGTAAAAGTGTGCATTTTATGATTCATTAAACCCATTATCCCAAGGGAACAAGCAGCATTATGGTACCTACCCAAGATAAAAGACTCTTTTTTCACAGAGACAAAGAGAGAAGTTAAGTCTCATTTAAATATGCAAACTCTGCTTCTGAATTAGTACAGTGTCAAGTTAAATTTTTAAAAAAATATTAGAAAAGACTTCCCTAAAAATATCTCTGGAGGAAAACTGCCTGAGAAAACAAACTGACTTCAACTGTCTCTTAAACAATTTCAGTTACTTTTCAACAGCAGGACAAAGGGAATTTTATTAAAATTTTCCTAAACAAATGTTCCTGATAATCAAATATTTAGCAAACAGAAAAAGAAATATTGAGCTGGATATCTAAAGATATAAATATTGTAATGGGAGTATCAGGGATTTTTATAATGCAGATAATTCCTGTTTGCCTGTGACAGGACAACATACGTTGTTGTTCAAAATAGTTCAAAATACTTTGGCTTGAGTCAAAATTGACCTTAGCTTCCACTCAGAGCACAGATGCTCCCTTCTCTGGGCTGATTTCCCAGCATGCGGCTTATTTCATATTTTGACTGCACCCACCTCTGTTACACCGGACTCTACAACACTGGACTCCATTAAGGAGGATTACCCCACCCTCAGGAATGGCTTTTCTTTAGGGACAAGAAGGTGAGAGTAAAGAAGGGGTAGAAAGGAGGAGTGCATTCTACACTGCTTCTATCCTTCAAAATCTAGGAGGTGGATCGTGTTATTCTGCAGTGGACAGGGGTTACACCCTTAATTTGGTTAGCCAATATGAGCCCTCCTATTTGACGGCATCAACCAAAGACTTTTATTTACTTTGGTGAAGAGAAAGATGTTTAGTAAAGACTTCCTTTGGAGGGAGGGCATGAAAGATGGTGTCTTTTACCACTGGTTTTGTGAATGAAAGAGGAAATGGTGTGTGGAAGGAAAGGAAATCAAGCCTGAAATTATCAGTCTATATTGAGAAGGCAACAAAGCAGAGGAGACAAAGAGGGCACATATCTTTACTTCTGTTGCACCCAGTAGCACCTAGTTACTTATGCAAGTGTGGTTGTACAGTTCATGATTTTCCACAGGACTGGAATCCAGGATGGTTTCCTGGAAACCTGGTTCTCGTCCAGTGAGAATTCTTTTTCAAGCTATGAGAGTCTGGTTTTGCTTAGTTTTTAAAAGACTGCAAATTGCCACTTTAGCAT